TTGAAAATCATATTTGTGTAAATAACAACTAGTTCTGTTGAAGAAGAAATCATGACATTTTTCTAAGAAAAAGAATATTTAATGTAGGACATTTTTCTAAGTAACAATTATAAGTAGTCATTATAATTTTAATCATGCGTTGAAACCATTCAGTATGTTTGAATAGGAAAACAATTAAAACACGAACTAGAAAAACAAATCTAAAAGGTAATTTTTGGTTCTTTTAATAAAACCACCAGTAGTTTCTTATATAAACACAATTATCGAAGCGAAAGCACTCAGACTAAGTTAAGTATATAAAAACGACGATTAAAAGAAGAGACAGATCACATTCACTTTATAATCTTCAAATGGAAACTATGTCATTTATTACTTTACTGGCAACAGTGTAAGTTAGATAGTTCGAATCGCTCGGTAACTGACAATTATAAGAATAAGCACCTGTGCTACTTTAAACTTTATTCATTTAAGAAAGAGAAATAAGAATAGTCATTCTACACAGATGCGACCTACGTCGTTATATTACAGGAAAATGCCATGGTAAATGATATAAGCTATTACGGATAATAAGCACGAAAAATAAAAGACAAAGTAGGAAAAAGTGTGTAGCCAGGGCGAAGAATCCTGCAATATGATCTTGTAGGATCATACAAGATCATATGAAAATCTTACAAAATCTTACAAGATTTCATAAGAATCTTGGTTCATGAATCTTATAAGATTTCACAAGATTTTTCTTGCAGCAAGATCTTGAAAGATTTCATAAGATCAGATAAGAATTCATCAGATCTTACAAGATTATGTCTCTGGTTCTGTCCTTTAGGTCCCCTCTATAAAAAAATCTTTTTATTTGCATAATATTTTCTAGCGTAAGAAGGACTCTGACGTCCTTGGGAAACGTGTGTAACCACGTTTCTTATAGCCATACATTTTATTTGTGCTCAGCTGATGTGTGAAGTTGAAGGAAGAAAAAAATGCTAAGTTTTATCATAAGAACTATGTTATATATATATATATTATGTATCGTAGCAAAATTTATGTAGTGAGAATGAGAGGATTAAGATCTTGTAACCAGAAATCATATGATCTTATGATAAGAACTGACAAGATCTTGGAAGAGCATATAAGTTCTTGTTACAAGAACTGATAAGATCTTAACATTTCTTATAAACTGATCTTCTAAGATTTGACAGCAAGAAGTTATAAGATTCCGCAAGATCATACATTACATGATCTTGGGATAAGATCTTACAAGATCTTACCGAAAGATCTTGTAGCAAGATTGCGTAAGAAAGCATCAGATTTTATAAGATCTTATAAGACGTCTTTCTCCTGGGTAAGGAAGAAGAGGAGAAGAATAAAATAATGCACGCTAAAACTTACGGTGTTGTACAGAAGTTAAGCAAAAGTGTAAAAATAGTATACGTTAGTTTTACTTATTTATCGAGGATTGTAATATACAAGAAAACTTTTTCTCTCTACATATCAGATACAAATAACAAATAGAGTAGCACAATAAGTAAAAGTTATGTGAATCTTTAGTGTCAGCTATGTATTTATGGACATTATTTAAGATAACGATGTTTTGTTCTGGGGTAAGATTAATTGGCCCTTTTAAAATGAGTTCGTAGTTTGTGGTAATGCAGTAATTAGTTTCATAATATTCCACAAGATAGATCTTTGATGGACAAAGCGAGGGCATTTTATAAAGTAATGCTCAGCTCTTTCGGGCTTATTGTAATGAGCACAATTTGGTGTTGCAACGAAGTGACGTTTATACTAATCTGCGAATAGAAACCTGAAGCCTAGGCGTATACGGGTCAGATGGATAATATAAAAACAGTACAGAGCGTCAGGTATGCACCAATACAATATCCCAATAATATTGGTCACCTAATATTTTGGGATCAATAATATTGGTCGTCCAGTATGTTGGATTTTCACAATAGTATTGGGTCAGTTGAGTTCGGCCTACTTTTACAGTACAGACGCATGCTTTATATCCCGCTTTGAATCTCTTAGAGCTGCCGAACGCCGCATTTTGTAAGAAAATGTTTTCTCTACGAAACTGAAGTGCTACAAAAATTTTAATGTTATATATAGAGAAAATACAATAAATCGAAAGCGCACTATAATCATAGAAAAATAGTCGACAGTCCTTTTTTCGCAATTTGCTCAGTTTTTGATGCTTATATTTTTGTCGTAGATAACACTAAAATGTCTTTTTGCACTTTAGTTTGGTAGAGCAAACATTTTTCTACAGAATGAGACGTTCGGCAGCTTTAACGAGTACAGGTCCCCAAGTGTGCAACTTTGCAAAAAAAGTTCATGTAGAGCTGGGTGTTATGTCATTTTAATCAGAAATTTGCGATCTACAATTATGCCTTATTAAGAAAGGTTTTGGTTATTTTTTTAAGTTTCTGAAAACCTGGTTTTCCAGAAACACGATCTCTGGCGGCCTACCAGCACAAACCGATGTCAGATTCGGATTTAACGCAGTGGATTACCTATTGACCACTGGAGTTCAAGCAAAAAGTGATTGCACACTTGGGGACCTTTCCTCGTATGTGCGTTTTTAAAACTGATTCGGAACGACTTTGCTGGATGCCCTAACATCGATTATTAATCGATGCATGCCTAATCTCGATCGAGATATGCTTTCCCACGTTTTTATGAAGGTAAGTGATATTAAGGTTAAAAAATTGTAATCTAGTGTATTGCGGAACCGAATATTACCCAATATTATTGTAAGTGTTGGTGCATGCCTATAGAGGGCTTAACAATTGAGACGGTTAGTTTAATATTTAAAACGTTTGGTAGCAATTATGTGTTCGATCACCGATTTAACTACAAGTATATAGGTGTCCTTCTCAAGAGGTACATTAAGAGGGAGAAGAGCTAAACTAAGGAGATTGCCGTTCAATGTGTCAGATGAATGCTTTAGATCAGCATTTAACTGCGAAAATTCAGATCTTATTTGGTAACAGATGATATCAGCTTTTCTTGGAATCTTGTAAACTCGATAAACAGTTGAATTAGTCTGCATATGTGTATTCAAAGATTTAATAAAAATAGCTAGAGTTTTAAATTCTTTCATGTTTTGCTGTAGACCGTTCCATTTAGCGATAGTAGAAGGAAAGAAACTTTCATCGAATATTTCTCTTTGAGTCTAAATCGAAGGTAGGTTCAGATTGTTCTGATATCTTGTAGAATATTGATGTGTTACAATATTTGATACATATGAGGATAAAGATTGTGAGACAAATCCTTTATTATTTTATAAAATAAAATAAATTTATGTTGAAAACAACGTTTATCTAATCCTAACCAATCTAAACAGTATACAATTTTTTCTTTACTTGATAATCGCAAAGATCCACTTATACCTAACGCAGTCTAATATTGTAAGTTATATAGCTCAGTCAAAAGACTTTCGTGTGTTGAGATGTAGATAAAATTAGTATAGCGTATTGTTTGTAGAAAAAATGAACTATAATCTGCTCAGAACGATGGTAGATAATTTATATTTGATGAACTTTAATAAGTTAATTATTTTATAACACTTCTCTTTCTTACAGGCTACAACTACTATTTGTAGTTAGCCAATCAAGTTCAACACTTGTTATAACCTTCGATGATGTACCAAATAGTTCTCTGAACTATACAATTTCAATTCCAAATGGGTACAAGAATTTAAACTGGACGAATGGACTAGTATTGAATACAACAGCAAGACCAGATTACCGACTGACTGGATTTTATACAGCATTAAAATCAGGACAATTTGTAGGATACAATGTAGATCACAAACCATTGACAATTCATTCGAGTGCCACTGGACAAACATTCAATGTTAGGTAAGTTAAGTCGAAGCTTACAATAAGAAAACGATACTGTTTTTTGAAAATCTTTCCTTCTCTCCATTTACTAGTTCATTTACTATAGCTGCTACACTGGTTAACAATACTCAGTTAACTATTGTTGGTCAACGATCTTGTGAACTTCTCTATACACAAACTCTTCTGTTAAAAGTTCGTCCACCAGCAACAGTCATCGTGTTAAACTGGATTAATTTAGATTCATTAATATTAACTGTTACAAATGGTTCACAATTTGCAATGGATGATCTTTCAGTTTCAGTTTCAAGTGCTGCTATAATAACGAGGTATAGAGTAAGAGCGTGAAAGTTGCTGCTCAATCAGATATAAGTCATTGTTCGTCTTCCTTTTTCTTCAGTACTACGTTTAAGACGACAACAACTACAGCAGGTATGTGTGAACCTATGATAGGGAAGAGTAACTTCTCTAAGGCATAACTACGAATTATTTTCGAAGCTGGGTCACTTCTTTGTGAAACTTCCCCTAGATGTTTCCGAAAAGAAGAACCTGCACACTCGAAAAACCGGTGATTTTGGCGTATTTTCAACTTCTTCCTCCTCCTTGTGTGAATCATTCATCTGAAACTGATGTAGTATTTATCAAACCACTCATATGAATTTCCCATCGGCATGTTAAAAGTCAAGCACTCACTCAGCATTAGACATGAAACCGTAACCGTGGATCATGATCGTAATCGTGAATAACCGTTCGAACGGTTAACCGTAACAGCAAATAATCCCTTTATAACGGCTTAGTGTATACTTGGTTACTAGTTCGTTGATATCGGTTTACATTAGAAGTAGACAAGGATGGCACTTTGTCCTGACGTTGTAGTGCATCTACTATAGTGACAATCTACACTACGTTGCACAAAAACGGGTATTAATTCACGGCATCAGAAATATAGTTTTCCCGTTCCGACGCAGGGACAAGATCCTGAAATCCTCAACTCCTGGAATAAATTTATGAAAATCCTAGGGAATACGTAATCGATAATGAGGAATCCGAAAATGAGTATAACAGGCCTATGGGATGCACTATATTGGTCAGAAATATACTTTTGACTTGATTGGATGAAAATGAAACAGAATAGACAATCGACCACGCGGGGTCTGAAAATAGCAATGAAAGTGACGGGAGCAGTAATCGCACATCAACACAAGAACGTGTTTCTTATGAGATTTCGTTCCGGGCGTAGAGCTCCGGGCTTCCATGACTCACTCTCACTATCCAACGCCCCCCGTTGAATGAAACAAGTGTTTGACCGAAATCTTCACGATAAGCGAACAACTTTCGACTTGATCGGATGAAAATGAAAGAGAATAGCTTATCAACCATAAGGAACCCAAAAAAGTGTATAAGAGTCCTCTAGAACGTACCCTATTGGCTAGAAACGTCCTGCTGGATTCGGGGATTTCACAAATACACTATTGGAGCAGAGACAAGCACCACTTGTTTGCTTATCGTGAAGGTTTCGGTCAAACACTTGTTTCCTCCAACGGGGTGAGGGGGCGTTGGATACTGGGAGTGAGTCATGGAAGCCCGGAGCCCTACGCCCGGAACGAAATCTCATAAGAAACACGTTCTTGTGTTGATGTGCGATTACTGCTCTCGTCACTTTCATTGCTATTTTCAGACCCCGCGTGGTCGATTGTCTATTCTGTTTCATTTTCATCCAATCAAGTCGAAAGTATATTTCTGACTAATAGAATGCATCCTATAGGTCTGTTATACTCATTTTCGGAATTTATTTACGGTTACGGTTAACGGTTAATAGCCGTAACCGTTGCATACTTACTCAGCACTGATTTAATGACCCGACATGACCCGATATTTGAGCGACCGGCATCTGAGCGATCGACACTTGAGCGCCCCGACATTTGAGCGACCGACATTTGAGTAATAACGACCGTTCAGCACCAAGTGCTCACTCTCACCCCCACTCATCCTCACCCACCCTTACCCTACACAGCACCCTCAGATCTCCAAATAATTCAATTCATAATCCGACGACAAAAAAAAATTGTTCTGATCATCGTTATCGAAGTGAATAATCATTCGATTTTCCT